CAGGCAGGGACCAACAAGTACCATATTTGAACGTCTTTTGGTATGACGCAGTCGGGAATCGAACCCGCGACCTTCCGCTCTCCGGGCGGACGCTCTAACCACTACACCACATCGTGATCGCGAGGTGGTTGAAACGTTCGCATGTTGTGCTCAAGAACAGGTTCCTACAAGCGTGTATCTGAATTAAAACTTAAGTCTCTAAATATATATAATTTTGATGGAAACAAACAATACCAGTCAAATTGCCCCAGGTTTGGTCAAATTGCCCCAGCTAAAAAATGACCAGCAAATCAAATCGCTCCGGATTGATAAAAACTACGCATTTATGACATATTTAAGCATTTTGAATAAATTGGGGCATTTTGGCTACCCCCTGGATGATGCAGGTCAGGGACTGTGAGACAGACTGACGTGTATTGCGTGAACCCTTGATTGTGCAGGATTAATGCTAAAGCTTTGGGAGAGGGGGTTAAAATTTGGATAACTCGTGCCCAATCCATTTTATTTTTGAATAAAATATGTTAAAAACAGCGGCATAACACCCATCTCGCTTATTTGATGCACACCTTAATAAATTCGCATCAGCTGTAGACAAATTGTTGTGCAATCCAGTTGTGCGAGTGGATTTGTGGTATACCCCTTTACTTTACCTTCACTCGTCACACTATTTATAAGCCTAAGAAATACTTCCGAGTGGACCCCATGGCACAATTACAACTATGTACTTCTCTCCCTGTGACTCAAAGCAGGTTACTAATTGTGCTCAAATTGAATATGGACGTACTTGAGAGCCAGGGTGGAGGCCATGTAATTTCTCATTCGAAATTGGAATGGGATTCAAACCATGGAACTGTTCCGAGGTGCATGCTTTGGCTATGACCGGTTATCAAACTGACAATGCAAGGATTTCATGGGCCGTACCTTCCTCTCATCAGTTGGGATCAGTGGGCCAGTAGTTCAGTTTCAGTTCCACCAGAGAGATCCAGTTTTAACAGTTTCAGCTTCTCCATGCCAACAATTTCAACTTCAGCATGCCGACAAATTCAGCAGGTCGGCTGTTTCAGCTTCAGCATGCAGACAGTTTCAACCTCAAAGTTCCAGTTTCACATGGCCGAGTGTTCCAGCTTCACTAACCCGATAGTTCCAGCTTCACCAGGCCAACAGTTCCAGTTTCACCAGGCTGACAGTTCTAGCTTCACCATGCCGACAGTTCCAGTTTCACCATGACAGTTCCAGCTTCACCATGCCGACAGTTCTAGCTTCACCATGATGACAGTTCCAGTTACACCATGCCAACATTTCCAGTTTCATCTTCACACTTCCAGCTTCACCAGGCCAACCAACAGCTTCACCATCCAGTTCAGCTTCACCATGACACAGTTCCAGCTTCACCATGCCAACAGTTCTAGCTTCACCATGATGACAGTTCCAGTTTCACCATGCCGACATTTCCAGTTTCATCATGACAGTTCCAGCTTCACCATGCCGACAGTTCCAGCTTCACCATGCTGACAGTTCCAGCTTCACCATGCCAACAGTTCCAGTTTCACCATGACAGTTCCAGCTTCACCATGACACTTCCAGCTTTCCAGGCCAACAGTACCAGCTTCACCATGCCGACAGTTCCAGTTTCCGACACTTCCAGCTTCACCACCACTTCCAGCTTCACCAGGACAGTACTAGCTTCACCATGCCGACAGTGTCAGCTTCACCATGCCGACAGTTCCAGCTTCACCATGCCAACAGTGTCAGCTTCACCATGCCGACACTTCCAGCTTCACCATGCCAACAGTACTAGCTTCACCATGCCGACAGTGTCAGTTTCACCAGGCCGACACTTCCAGCTTCACCATGCCTACACTTCCAGCTTCACCATGCCAACAGTACTAGCTTCACCATGCCGACAGTGTCAGCTTCACCATGCCGACACTTCCAGCTTCACCAGGGTAGTACTAGCTTCACCATGCCGACACTCCAGCTTCACCAGGCCAACAAGTACTAGCTTCACCCAGGCAGTTTAAGCATCCACATGCTGAGTAATTTACCAAGCCAGCAGTTTCACCAGGGTATTAGACCCTCATGACCTGCACAAACAGACCCCAACAAAAAGCTCACCTCAACTTTCAGTCTAAGTGAGGGACACAAAAACTAAGAATAGCAAAATTGTGAATGTGTGATGAAAACTTTATTGTCCAACATGGAGAACAGACCAAGCATATTGTCAAATCACACAATATACATATACAATCTACTTTGGTTTTCCTAACAGACATATCAAATATTCAATAAGGCATGCTTTTCTGGACTACAGTCAGTGACTTTCCCAGTTAACGAGACAAACTTCAACAGATGCTTAACATTACAGTATTTACCAACAACTGAAAACAAAATAAATCACTCTCTAACATCTACCAGATAATAAAAATATATCTGTGACCAAACATCCCCACTTGTCACCTAACAGTCAATTTGACACATAACTATTTCCTCAACAGCTCTGGATCCTCTATCATCATAGAAATTACTAACTTCTTGTTAAAAATAATGAAAAATATTTACCAATACTCAACAAAGGGATCATGTATATTTTAGGGTACATTTTTATTGTGAATATCACAAATATATACCTAAAAATATTCCTGATCCCTATTTTGGTTCATAATAAATGGCCACAGCAGACCAGTCACATAAAAGTAACTCATCTATTGACTAACAGCAAACCTACTTTTAAAATAAGATTCCTTTGACCTGAAAATAAATAATGCTTTAAGAAACTAACACAGAGCATTAGTTTTAAGAAACTTAAGCACCTGTACATAAAATGGCAAACCGCAACAAAAACAAAATTCTTTAGATCATATCATATCCCCTATTTGTTTTGTATTTCAAAATTGTATAACACATGACATTTGGTCAAGGCAAGGTCCAGCATTTGTATCAAAGTACAAAACACTGAGGAAAATACTCAAGCATCCAAATAGGAAGATAATCACCATTTTCAAAGCACCAGAACGTAATCTGATGGGGATTGTATGACTGCTTCATCAGACAAATATACCAAAATAGTTACCAGATATGAACAAACACATCTTTTGTTACTTTAGGTCGAGGAATGTTATGCATGGTTTTTTTTTTTTTTTTTTTTAAAGAATCAAAATTCTCTTGTAACAAATCTTGAGCCAGACCAATGAAACTATATTCAGAGTTACCTGTCCAAGTCATGGAGGACAAGTTATCTGCCCTTGTCACAGAAGCAATTCCATTGAAAATTTGGAGTAACCGCTGACAGGAGATAAGATGTTTCTCTGTCCTTTAAATGTATTTTTGTTTTTATTTAAAATGAACTCTCCTACATATTCACTTTTCTTACATAATACAAGTGTATGCATGAGTTTCTGGCAGGTCATTGAGACAAAATAAAATATTTCACTGAGTATTTGTATAATATTTATTATCCTCAGTTCTGATTAGAATGTGTACTTCTCATGCCTGGCTTTCCATATTTGGGATTGTATGCTTTCCCTATTTTTAATGAAGTCCTGTGGATATATGTCTCTTTTCATTAGATAAACATTACACACACAATATATTGGGAAATTTCTTCCACAGTTAACATTTGTGAATTATACCATCAGTAAAATATACACACAATTTATAAACATAAATAAAACAATGCGTAAGATTTCTAATTTGTTATAACATTGGATGTGAAACATATAAAAAGACATATATTTTGAAAAATTTCATGATAAACTCTTCTCTCAATTATGAGGTGAACAACTGGTATTATTCACTCTTGGAGTACTGTCAAATGTTTTGAATTCATACCCACAAGCAAAAGGCAAATACCAATTCCATAGAAAGCGAAAATCAAAAGAATAAAAATTGTGAGACAACTGATTTTGTAGAATGTGACAATCTCAGAACTTGTGACAGAATTACTATGTATGTAACCTTTATATTTACTGGAAACATCAACTAAAACACATTCCAGTTTCCTAGATGCAATACACAAGAATTATATACAGAACCTAGAGGAATAGACAGATTTAGAAATTATGCTGTTATCAACATGTGGCTTTGTGCAGAGACAGACACAGTGGAAACTCAGGAAAAACCATCACGAGAATACATTGGCCGATACAGTTACCTCATCGTGGTTTATGAAACATTGGCGGGCAAAATTTGAGTTTAATGTGGTCAAACGCGATGAGTTTCTCAATGGGATGTTTCATTTCGATCAGGTGTCCATTCCACAAAGCAATCATAGTGCCATGGTTATTGAACCTGTTTACTTTGACTGTTTACTTTGATAATTAACTGTTACTGCATTATGATCGCTTTGTGGAGGACGCCCAATATGTTTCTTTTCTAGAGTACAACTTGGAAAAGTGATCAACTATCCATTCAGTGATGCGTTGAACTAGTCATTTTATATTATTGGTGTAGATAGGGTTACTTAACATTTGGGAAGTGTGTGTGATGTGGAGGATGACTTTGAATGATGTAGATGCAGACATAATTTTCAGGGCTTGGACTCAAAGATAGAAGTAACAGGATCGCTGTTAACAAGCTTTGTTAACAAGCCTTGTTAACAGAGGAAGATTACATCATAAATAGTGGACAGTATGTTCCTCCATCTGTGAATTCAAGTTACGTTCACAACAGACGACTGGTCCCTCATCACACTGAAGGTCAAGGATGGATTCCCAAACAAGCAAACTGTAAAAATCATTTACCATGTCCTGCGTTGTGGCATGGAATGTCAACTGCTTATAAACTCGGAGCAGAGATTACCACTGCCTGATACTGACTGACTGACTTTGGTTTTATTCTGCTTTTAGCAATATTCCAGCAACATCATGGCGGGGGACACCAGAAATGGGCTTCACACATTGTGCCCATGTGGGGATTCGAACCCGGGTCTTCGGCGTGACGAGACAACGCTTTAACCATTAGGCTACCCCACCGCCCGCCTGATACTGAAGCAATGTGAAAAGAAGACATGACAAGATCCCTGCCAAGCAGAACGACCGGGATGCCTCTCACGGATTTGTTGGCTAAATACAGCAACTTCTCCACGGTACTGTTCAGTGTTCAAGGTCGATGGAGGAACATAGTGTATACGAACCCGTATCAGCAATGTGAATCAGGGTATTATTTTAGATAGACTATTTGTTACCATGGACAAACTGACGAAAGTGAAACCTGCTCCCTTCACCAGTTCCATGGCAACCGTTACCACAAAAAGTGCAAAAATGGTTAAACATACATAAAATATATATTACATGGATTACATATTTGTGTAATAACATATTTCGATGACTCGACATTTATTGTGTACATTGGTTCCTAACTTTGGCAGAACAGTATTCAAGATAAAATGTTCGGAATGATGTCGATGGTGCCTGGAACTCGGACCAAATTGAGTGACCATTATTCATCAACTGGCACTTTTATATGGAATCCACTGATTGATGCTGGAAACAGAACAACTGAACGTGGTAATGGAAACAACTCATACTGGCTGGAATTACACGATTTTAACGAATGATTTGAAATGACATTTCTCAAAAATGCCATTTTAAGGCAGGCACAAAATTGTAATTGCATCACTATTATTGCCTGAAAAGAAGTAAAAGAATTTGAAAAGGTACTATATGAATATAACACTGTATGAAAATACACATTAGGATTTTTAAAATCAAATAAATAGTCAACAAGTGTAGTTTATTTGTTCAATGAGCATGACTCAAAGTGCACTTGGGGTTGTGATCTGTATAGATGCAGCTAGCGTAGAGACCATATATACACAAACAATGCTAGGCATGGTAGCGTGCGTCGTCGTCGTCAGGGGCGATCGGATGTCTATATACAATACTCTCCAGCTAGTCTGAAACATTGTCTCATGGACGTCTTGATAGAACTAACATTACATACTCACTACAGTCTGACGGAATATTGTCAAATGCCATATCAGCAACTTTGGTTTTCTGGTTGTCATGGTAACATGGTTAACACGGATAAAACTGGGAGATGAAAACACACCACAGCATCCTGCATGGCAAAGGGATAGAACTCTAGAAAGAGTGCTAGCTGCCATCTTGTCAAGCTGAATGACCCAATATTTCAGGACAAAACTGAATAAATCTGCCCATGTTAGGTCCACAACAGACCAACACCACCCATGAAACAATGCGATACTTTCCGCTATTTTGAAAGACAATCATAATGAACCATTTATTCCTGCAAGCATGATCTTATTTGCCGCTTGTGGTACTCCATTGTACTAAAATGATTCTTGAATTAGAATACACGAGAAGACCTCCCCATTATGTCTAACATTAGCCAACCAGGGACAGACGTCGTAAAGAATACTTCAACTTAACAAGCATTGGATCATACAGATTATATACACTTTGTAATAAATAGCCAGGAAGGGTTATCCTCCTTGGCAGGTCAATGGCTGCATTGTGTCAAGGTCAGTTTGCCTCGGGTCTCGGGGTGCAGTTATTATGTTAGAGATGAAGCTGGTAGGGAATATCATACAGGCACCTTGCAGGTCACATAAATATATGCACATTTAACATATGCAGTTGTTACCTATGGGGCTTCCATAGAAAATATATACTTGATGTTTATCAAAAAGGGTGGGGCAGTATGACTGTTTAACCAGTAAATCTCTTTTTGGATACGTATCACGATATGTTTCAATGTCGGCAATTGGTGGCATGTGTCAGATTTACTAATTTATCATTAAATGAACTTTGCAAATACCTCTGAAATGTTGATGTGATTCCAAAGTAATTTGCTTCTTGAGGAGATCGTAGTTTGTTTAGAGTGACCTCCCTTGGATTCATTCTCATAATTCTGTACATTTCTACCAACCATGTTCAGCAATCCCACTGGGTTCTTTCCACGTTGAAAACTGTTAACATGTGGAAGCACTTACACCTTAAACTGAAGGAAAAATTTGTTTCCTCTTATTTCCTGATAAACATAATTTTCTGACATATAAATTGGAATTTATCAAAGATATCATGATACGTATCACAATACAGCCTTGTGTTTAGCAACATTTTGTGACACGATTCAGATGTGACACATTTCAGATTTTCAATACCCAGGGTTAATCATTGTGTTTGGGACTGTAAGTGAGACAAATGATGGAAAACCCTAATATGCTAACAAATCCTCGATATATTGTACATTCGTGTGAATGTGACTGACAACGCCTTTGTGGACGCAAAGAATATATTGTTGCCCGACGGCTGCATCACCACAGGTATAGCAAATGCTAGATATAAAAGAGCATTATAATCCTAATGCGCTCTGTGGTGGGTGGTGATTTAAAACTGTTCATTAAATTCTTTCGCCGCTGACTTCAGACGTCCTTGCTTAGCATCTGATATAGCTCCCCACAGGTCGAAGATGAAATCATCAGTAAATCCAAACTCTTTAAACTCCGATTCGTCTACGTTCATGGCGAAGGTGCTGGGGTTGTCGCAGGCTTTACCCATATCCCATACGCTCTGAGCTGAAACAGAGAAAGGCATTATTTAGCATCTCTATTTAATAAACTGTTTCATGCATGAGACGTATTTCCACTAAAGGTGCATCAAAACAACTTTTACTAAGAACAGTCTATGTGAAAGTTATGTTCTATTCAGCTTTTCAATATTCCAGCAATATCACAGCAGGGGACACCAGAAATGGGCATCGCACATTGTACCCATGTGGGGAATCAAACTCGGGTCTTTGACATGACAAACGCTTTAAGCACTAGGCTTAGAATAAAGAGAGCATGTTGGGTTGAACATTATTCAAGTAACATCGCATCATGTCAGCATATTACGGAAGGGTACCTGGGACTGATTATTGTTGATACACCACATGTGAAAAGTCTGTGATGTTGGCATTGACGTGATGTTGTCGTACATATGACGATGGAAGTGCTTCGTCAGAAGTACAGGGGTGGAAATAACTTTAAAATTGCTAGTGTACTCCGGCACATGTAAAATCACTTGCCCTGATAATTTTTCTACTATACCGGCCATTTTCTTGTTGATGTTTTAAATAAACAACATAATTAACATTGGAATATCAACTGGAAACCGGTACAGTGTGATATACAAATTTGCTTGCCAGACAGAAAAAAACACTGGACTCGGGCGTCGGGCAATGGGTTATTTCCACCCCTGAAGTATGCAAGATAGAGCTCTGTATCGTGGCTTAAGTGGCGAGACAATATATCCCAATACCAGTTTAAAAAGGCGAGTCGACATATCATGAAAGTATTGGCAAGGAACTTGCGAGACAATTATCATCACGATACAATGGTGGTGATACGATTTGTATTCTGATAGTTTACAATTTCTAATGACAGAACACATATGATAGATAAAGTGACTGACCTATATACAACAGAACTTGTGTTACATTCACATACACTTAAAGCTGTTCATCTAATAAAGTTTCAGCATTTAATGCTTAAGAAAGTACAGTCAAACATTTTCAGTATACCTTGATCTAACATTTAAGTTTGAAACTGAAGTTTCCCTTCGGAGGTTGTGTTTCTGCAACAATGCTTTCACAAACAATTCAATGTAATTTATATCAGAATCACTGAAAAAAACTCTTAAGTATGCTTTCTAAATTTTATCTTCTCTTTGTTCTCTTTCTTAACAAAGCTAAGACATCGTTCACAGTTGGTAATAAATGGTGTTACTTTTCAGACAACTAAAACATATTTCAGCTACTTGAAGACAAGTATTCTACAGTTCACAGAGTTTGAAAAATGTTCACACTCTTTCCCTTACACACCAACTCTTTCGTTCAAGTAACCAAGACTGACTGACTGAGTTTTAGTTTTACGCCGCTTTTAGCAATATCACAGCGGGGGACACCAGAACATGTAACAAAGATAGCAGACACAAACAAATTAGCTTGGTTCAATTAGTTTTTAAAATTCAAAGGATTTCAAAGAGACTCCCTTCCTATTTCTAATGCAACACTCCTTACCTCTTTACCTATATCGTCTCTTGTGGTGATACATCGATGTATCATGGACCCTCGCGATATAAATATCCTGATATATTGCCTAAATGTGTTTTGTATCGATGCACTCATATCACGTAGTTGACGATGCAAACATCGATACTATCGATGAATCGTTACACCACTAATGCAAGGTGACTTTTTATATTTGACAACTGGATGTCACCATCTTGTTCACAACGACCTTGAATCTCTGTGGAGTGCTTCTTGGGGCATCTTGCAAGTGTCTTAACATGTTGGATTGACTTGAGGCCCTGTTACAATCGTGAATGTCTGTACATCTCGATGTGAGTAGGTAGAAAATACCCTGTTTATTTAATGTTAGGTCTCACATGGGCCCTGCAGATGACGAAGTACTTACAAAGATCAGTGTCGTTGATGCCCATGTACGACTCTAGAAGATTGTTGATCTTGTCCACGGCAACGCTGCCCACATCATCATCCTGAAACAGCATCGTCATCAAGTGTTACGAACATCACAATTTATCCTGCCACCAATGCCTATCTTTGTGTTTTGCATTTCAAGCTCAGTTTCAGAGAAAGCTGTTAATAAAACGTGTTGAACAGTCTGCAATTTCAATACAGCAGTTTTCAATGGTTCCGGAATATTTTGTTGGGTCTTGAGAGCTTAAAAATGCAAAGGGCTTAAAGCAGGGAGAGATTCTTCCTAACATCCTCATGATAAAATAATGCAAACATATTCCAAATGAAAACAGCAATTCATTACTTTTTCCAGTTTGGAATGATATATATTCAAGCAGTCAAATATATTATTTTTTCAAAAACTTTCAGGACCATTGAGAGATGGGAAAAAGAAGAAATACAACTCAAAGCTTTGTCATATGACAGGTACATGCTGGTTCTTGAAAGAAATTTGAAAAAAAACGTAATACCTAAAACATAATTTGCCTAACATATGGTCATCTACAATGCATCTGGACTTCATTTTTGTTGGTCTTGGAGTCTAATGCTTGACTTACCTCCTCCACAGTTGCAGGCCCATTGGCACGGAGTCTCAGAGTTTGCTTCCCTGAGCCAAAATCGGCCTTCTTCTTGCCTCCTGATGAAGCTCCTATATGGGCTGGAAAGAGGAAAATACAACATTTATACAACACTGTATACATTCAGCAACATTTCATATACGAGTACAACCAGGACATCCACTTGCTGTATATAGAGCCTTGTATGTTTTCCTGGAGGGTTTCCAAATTTTATGCCATAAATTTCAGTGTACAGTAAACGACAGTAAAGGGACCACTGATTTTAGCTTGTTATAACTGTAGCTCATTCTACGCATTTCTACACAAATACACAGCAAGAAGCCTGGACAACACAACCCCAGTTTATTACATCCATCAGTTGTTTTGATTGACTGTTGTTAAAAGCCTCACTCAGCACTATTCTGTCTACATGGCTTCAGTCAGTAATTAATTGAGTCTGGACCAGACAATCCAGTGATCAACAGCATGATCATTGATCTACGCAATTGGGATACAGTGACATGTGTCAACCAAGTCAGCGAGCCTGACCACCCGACCCCGATAGGCGCCTCTTACGACAAGCACTGAAGACCAATTCTCGGAACCACTGACATACCGGTATAACATAGTTATACATAGTTTACTGTAGCTGAAAAAAAAAAAAAATTGACTACACTTCTAACAACTTATAACCATAGTCTGTTATACATATTTCAACACAAAAGATACAGCAAGTGGCTCGGATAAAAAATACAGTTTGTTAAATCCATCAGTTTGTTAGAAGCATGTTTGTCATTGACTGTATTTCTAGAAATGAATAAAACACAAAAAATGTAGGTCACCGGATCAATGAAATAGATCTGAAAAACGATTGTTGAAGTAAATATTTTACTACGTATTATACACAATTTCTTTTGTGATAAACATCTCATGTTGGTTGGTCTCTTAAACCAGCTAAACCAACAAAAAAAACCTCACACTGAAAATAACATTAAACATCCAGAATGCTCTTTCAGACTGTCTGACCAGTAAACATGACCTGGAAATGTGCCAACCACGCTGGCGGAGCCTTTTAATGTTTTAAAGAGTAGCACCGATTACAGGCTACACATTAATGAGTGCAAGAATGAGAGGGGTTTGATACTCTTTTGAACAGTAGTTGATTTCTGTCATTTGTTCAGCTTAATCATGGAAGAAAGCAGAAAGAAAACAAACAACATCAGGAACTCTGACTATTAAATCACAAATTATCATTCACAATAGGTATTGATAATATTATTCAGGCATTCTGTTCTCTTGGGGCGAGCCTATTGGGGACTTTTACATGAGAAAGTACATTTTTCAAACTAAATTTGCTTGATCTGCTGTTTCAGGTGAATTCTGTTTTATACCTGTCAGTGCACTGCCAAAAGACTAACACTTAGTCTCTGAATATATTTTATTTTGATAGTAACAAACAAACCCATTTAAATTGAAAAGGAGCCCCAGGGAGACCAGAGATTCAGAGACTAATAACATCTGCATTGAGGCTACACGTGCTGGGGTCATTATCAATTAGAAGTCACATCATACAACCATCAGATAACAGTATAAATGACAGGCATATTTATTGGCCCTCCTGTTAAGCCTTGTCCTATCTCCATGGAGTCTGACCAGAGTGCTGCTGTCACCACCTCATGTGGTCCAGACAAGTCCCTCTGCTGCTTCACAGTTAGTCTGTCTGTATCTTTTCACAAATGTTAATTTTCATTTAATTATTGTTTTTTAAAAGAAATTGATTTATTTGATAAATTCTGATTAATGTGTTTTGTAAATAGATATATTTTAAATATTGGTAATTCAGATTAGTAACTTAGATTGTTAGTGGCTGTACCTTCAGAGGGGGTTATGTACTGTAAAATTGTCCTCCTGAGAGGGTACGTAAGTCCCAAAACTTTCAAAGTAAAATGTAAATTTACCATATTTTTGTTCTTTTAACTGCCGGCTAAAGTTTCCTACATTCGCCAGCGGCTGAAGGGATGGTGCAAATCCAGCTAGGGTCCATGCAAGTAGCAAAAGTAATGTAAGTCCCCATGGTTCCTAGTATGGTGATCTACCTTCAGTAGTTGGCGATCTATAGCCAGTATTTTATACTGTATTGTCTTCTTTAATTGGAATGTTTTAGTTTTGTTGCTAGTTTTATATTCATATCTGTGATTCTCTAGTATTTTTACTGTCCATCGTTGACAGATATTAATCTTCAAAATGTTTGCACTTTTTATTGTATAAATTGTTTTCGTCAAGGCTGAGGTATTGCCGATGTGACGTTTAATATTAACTCACTCACTCACTCACTGTCTCACAGTCCCTGAACCACATTATTTTCCCTACTGCCTAGCCCTCTCTGCAGTGCTAAAGTCCTAAATAAAGCAAGTCTAGATTTCCTCAGGTTCAGGTTCTGAATCTCTGGTCTCCCTGGGGCTCCTTTTCAATTTAAATGGGCTTGTTTGTTACTATTGAACTTATTTATATTCAGAGACTAAGCATTACCCTACCTAACAGTTTACAGTTTGGAAACTTGCAGCCCACAATGTCACTTGGAGACTATTCTGAACCTGAGGAAATCTAGACTTGCTTTATTTACGGCTTTAGCACTGCAGAGAGAGCTAGGCAGTAGGGAAACTAATAAAGTTAAGGGACTGCGAGACAAACTATGCCGAAAGTGTGTAACCATTGTAACATAAAAAAACAGAAACTCATAAAAATGATGCAAACTTCTAATTAATAAGCAAGATGTAGCGTCATTTACCAGCATCAATCATAAGAGCTAGGTTCATGTATGTGAGTGAGTGAGTGAATATGGTTTTACGCCGCTTTTAGCAATACTCCAGCAACATCACGGCGGGGGACACCAGAAATAGGCTTCACACTTTGTACCCATGTGGGGAATCGAACCCGGGCCTTGTCGTGACGAGCGAACGCTTTAACCACTAGGCTACCCCACCACCCAGGTTCATGTATGTGTTATGTGTAAGGTGATATAGATGTAGAAAACTATAGCGAGTGAGTTGGGTTTTACCCAGTTTTTAGCAATATTCCAGCAAATTTCACGGCTGGGGACACCACAAATGGGCTTCATATATTGTACCCATCAAACCCGGGTCTTCAGCCTCGTTAACGCCTTAACCACTAGGCAACCCCACCTACTCCGTAGAAAACAATACATTAGGAAATAATTCAAAGATATCTTTACTATTGGGTATTTGAATTTATGCAAATAATGAAATTATTTCAGCATATTTTAAATATGCATTTAACTGGAGCTCTGGATAACCTAGCTGCAGATTTCTACTTATTTCATAAATGCTTGAATAACTGTGTATGGGTTTAATTTTCACATTCCCAAGATCATGGCATTTATTTGGAAAACACCTTTATTTGCAGCAGCGTTTATGCTTGGCAGTGACGTGTTAACATCTATTTCAATACTGTTTCTTCTTGATCTTATCCTGGAATGATCTTAAAAGGAAGATTATGTAATCTTTTTTTTGAAAGAACATTTGACCAGGCAGTTATTCAAGACAGGTGCTCATTTCTTTCAGTGAATCAGAATTTGTTCAAGCTGTTCATACAAATGTGACATTTATTCAAGCATTTAAGATAATTGGGTTGAATGTTGGTTTTGAAAGTAGAGAAAGACTTCACCAGGGGAAGTAACTCTGTGTTGACTAAGCATTGAAGAAAAGATGTAAAGGATTAAATACTGTCATGACTTGCAGTGTTACTAAAATTATTGTCTATATATGATACACATACATTCTCCCAAACTTATTTATTATGTTTAAATATACGCAATTTCGTTGATTAAAAGTATTTTTGGTGCAATTAACGCAATGCAGCAAAAACTTTCATGTGCAATTCTCATAAACTGGATCCCCCCAAAATATATTTCAATCTTATATCCCAAATTTTTAATTTGTGACTGACGACAATATTACCAGGAGACATTAAACATACGATTGGAATGTATAATACAACATCCATTGAATAAATAACTCCATTCACTGACAAAAACATCTCCGGCATTCTCCAATTAACAATCTTGTTTTCTTTACCCTCGTTCAACAGAAAACAGCTCCTCTCCACATGACAAACATGTCAGCGAGAATAGCCCAGCCTCAGTAGCCCCGAAATAGTAGAATAGCTTGCCCTGCTTCAGTGACTGTGTACATTAATTCCCGTGTAGACTCAACAGAGATGTAAACACTGTGCTTAAACACACCTTTACTTCTCTGTCAATAAAAGCTGGGACAATCTCTACCCTCGTACTGCTGCTGTGGGAATTATTTGCCAGCCGACTATAGCTTTTATTACATACTGATGAATATCCCTGAGCTTCAACAATCCAGAAAGATTATATTACAATATAATTGGCAATACCTTGTGCTTTAGTTGTAATTTGAACATATATGGTTAAAAAATGTGACAGCACAATAATAGGAAATTTTAAATTGAACATAAAATGTATAACGTTTGATTATTCATGCTGGACATAATTTTAATCTTTTAATGCAGTTATATGAAACTGAAACTGTCATGTCAATGAATATGTCCTGAAAAGCGTTAGTTTCATTGTCCCTATTGCATGGAAAGTCATGTTTACTATTCATTTCTTAGTCAACCAGAACACAACAAAATAATCATACATATCACAAAATAGACAAACAGCCAATTTTTAAGAAGGCCGCTTAATTATAGCCTTAAAAAAATCAGGTGTTTGTCATCTAGGTTTTAGTCATTAATTAAACTTTTGGAGTAGTTGAGAACAGAGGTGAGGTGAAATTGGGTTTAACATCGTGCTTGAGAATATTTCACTCATATGACGACGTGCATGCGTGTGTATGTGCGGCTGCTTGTACTAGCCCAGACTGAAGCTGGTTTTATAGTGCTAGCCCACTGAGATACCAAGCTGCAGTGAAGCATGAATACCCCACTCAGACACATTATACTGACTCCGAGCCGACCAGTCCTTGTTGTACCCATTAATGCCGAGTGCCAGGCAGGGACCAACAAGTACCATATTTTAACGTCTTTTGGTATGTCGCGATCAGGGATTGACCCC